TATATCGATCACTTTGTTTGTGTAATATCCAATCAGAGTTGAAACGCCGTATAACGAAGAGAAACCCCTTTTTTTCCAGCTTCCGTCTCCAGATACTGTAAGTTCCGTAGTCTCTTCAACATCTAATGCTTCTGCAGTTTTTATTTTTTCCTCTTGTGCACTAGCTTTTAATGAAATATCGCAGATCGATTTTGCAGCAGCGTGGATTTGTTTCACAATACGGTCATAGAAAGATTGAAAGATAGGTCGAGGCAAATCCATTAATCCACAAAACTTTTCAGCTCCATTTAAACCGATTCCCAGTAATCGCATTGAGAATATAAATCTTCTGTTTACTTCGTACGCATTGGAAATCAAAGGACACGAATCGATATATTTCGGCTCACATTGCTTACATTTTACAACTAACTTGAATCCGAGGCCACGTTGACTTGTTTCTTGAAATGTTATATCACTTCCACACGTTTTACAACAAAGAAATCCAGTTAAAACGGGAAAAACGGAAAAAAAATTCAAGATTCTATACGATATTGTTGGATCGATATCAACATTCATATCAACGGATTTCAACTTTTTAGCTGACGTGCTTGTATTGCCTTTATCTTGCTCTATTTCAAAACGATTCAGAGGACGTTTCGATTTTCTGCCGTCTCTATTTCGTCTCGGATTAGATTGTTTCTTGCCTTTTCGATCCATTTTTAAATAAAAAACCAAGAGAATATTTCGTAGACGGTCAAAGTTTGCTATGAACTATACGCCTCGAAGGTTGCCGAAAGACTACTTCTACTGTTACGATCGTCAAGGATTTATGATATAAACTTCCTATAGGCAACAAAAGACACACAAGCACACAGGCAAACAAAAAAATACCGGTTTTTACAAGTCCCCTCAGTCCCTAGGATGACAAAGGGGACCGCCGAGTATGGGAGCAGCGGTAGCGCTAGCGCGCTGCTAGCGCATCTGACCATATATTACTTATTTACTGTAGTTTCAATGCGAATTTTAATATAATATTTTAAGGACATATTTTTAAGAACCCAAGCATTACAAAAATGCAAAAAAAAAAAAATCGATTTTTTGAACCCGTCACAGTGGTGTTCCCCCTTAATTCATTCCCGTCCCTCTCTCACTCTCCGCACGAGCCACGTTGAGAGCCTGGCCCACGACGAGCTAGTCCGCGCTTAAAACGGTCGGTTGTTTCATCTTTATTAATCAAGATAATAATCCATTATTAACAACAAATAAAAAATGGTTTATTAATCTCATCGACACTGATATCTCTCCGAATGTTTCCAATTTGGTTCAATTGGGGGGGTAACTTCTGCCTTCACCTTAGAGATAAAGAAACAGCTATCCGCGAATTCATAAAGAATGTAGAGAGCAATACAAAACGCCATAATATAAGGAACCTCATAAAGATCCGTAATGCAATCATTCCTTAATTCCATCATTTCCTTCACAGAAGAAATGTATTGATAATATCAATAGATTATTAGTCTCAATGTACATTACCACAAAGCGCTTTTGCAAGGATAATCCTAGTATTCTTTTCACACGTATCGATAAAGGAAATGTCACCGTAGCATTGAATCGGAACACGTACATTGAGAAAGTTGAAAATTTGCTCTCAGATATTAACACTTACCAGAATGTTAAAAAAGATCCATCCATACGAATAGAGAAAAAACTTAATGGTATCCTTAAGGATTGGCTCAAAAAAGAGTATATATCCCAAAAAATTATTCACTCCGCTCTAGTGACTCCACCCTTCCGAAATGTTACGGATTAAAATCCATAAGGAAAATATATCATCCCGAATCAGTTTCCTCTGTCAACACTGCCTTGCAGACTTTTGCTGCATACCTATGTAATATTTTAATAGGTAGTATACCAACAACAGACATGCGAAAAACATTTATGATTTATGCAGTACACTTTCGAGTAAAAAGTTGTAAAATTCTGAGATTCTTGTATCGCTTGATGCGACATCATTTTTTATGAACATCCCATTAGACCTAGCAATTACTGGGATAAATAATAGATGAGAACTCATCGGAGAATAGACCAACATCCAAAAAGCAGATTTTATAGAGACAATAAAATTTTTTTAATTTCCACTTTTTCACTTTCAACGGAAAAATATATAAACAATTGTTTGGTTCTCTGATGGGCTTATCTCTGTCTCCGCCTGTCGTGGATATATAGTAATGCAGGATTTAAAGGAATATGCTCTAAATTCATTAACAAGGAAACTGTTAAGATAATTGAAATTAAAAGAAACTTAGTCAGGTAACTTGGTCAGCTGTAATTTTCGTTCTGTTTTCATGAATATTCTCCCACTTGTTATGTTACTCTAAGCCAGATGGCAGGATTTTTCTATACGACAAAAATGGGCATCAGCGCCATGTTTAATGCACACTTGTTGGTTTAGTTTTTTGCGATGTGCAACACCACCGGTCTTGTAAAACCGTTTCTATAAATCGAATTATATTGAGAATCGGATCCACAGTGAAATTAGCACCCAAAAACCTACTCGTAATAACAGGTTATGGGCCCAGTAGCATCTACAATATAGATTCGGCAAAAAGACTCGAGCCACTCAGTGTAAAAAACCCGAGGTGGTGAGGTAAAAATTTAAAGGTTAGCTCTAGCCTCAGTGCAATAACCTGTCTCTTATACACATCTCTGAGCGGGCTGGCAAGG